GAGGGGGGAAGGAGGGCTGTGCCCCCTCTTGGCATGGGGAGCAGGGACATAGGGCAGGGAGGGTGTTGGGGCCAATGCGGTGGGGGAAGGAGGGGACTGTGGAAACACCCTAGGGCAAGGGGTTGGCGGGGGGGAATATGTGCCCTGCCCCAAACACATGCTGCTCTGCTTGTGGGGCTGCAGCGCTTGATCCATGGGGCTGTGGGAGAGCTGGAGAACCCTTCCATCCCGTGCTGCTTCTGCGGAGCTTCCCTGTGCCTTGCCCCTGTTTGTTTGTGGGCCTGGGGGTACTGAGGGACCCCCGGATGGTGGCACGAGTCATGCAGTTCTTCCCTGCAGGGCCCAGCGATGGTTTTAGTGCTGAAAAACTTTGTGTGTTCCCCCCTCTTCCCCACCAAGGGACTCCTCACAGCAAGGTTGGGGCTGGAGTTCAAGCCAGCCAACCTGCTCAGGGGTTTGGGCTTTAGTGCCTGTTCTCCATCCTGGGGGCTCTGAGCTTCAGCTGTTGCTGCTCTGTGCCTCCCCTAATGACTGCCTTGCTTCTCCCTAGGAAACGTTGATGGGGAAGTATGGAGACAACTCAAAGCTCATCTATGAGCTGCAGGATCAGGGAGGAGAGCTGCTGGCCCTTCGCTATGACCTGACTGTATCCTGCCACAGCCCTGAGCACGTGGGGAGCGTGCAGCCCTTGTGGAGGGTACAGTGACAGGCTGTGGTCTCTGCCTAGGTTAAAGGCGTTAGCATGAGTCCTCCTTCCCCATGTAACGTTACCCTGACCGATCTACGAATCCCAGCTTCCTTCTGTATGGATGACCGAAACTCTTGACTCCTTCACTCTGACCAGTTGAGATCCCAAGCTGGTCTGACTCTGTGACTCCCACCTCTAACTGCCTCCCAGTCAGTCCAATATCTGCAACAAATCTGCTCTTTCTCCTGCGGTCTGTGGGTATGTACCAGTATCCCCCACAATATTGGTTTTACCTCTTCCTAGACATGGTCCCCACCTGTGTGGGCTCCTGTCCTCCCCTGCCACCTTTCCCATACCTCTGCAGAGCATTGGTGGTTGTTTTGAGAGCAAAAGTGATTGCTGCAGATATGAAAGAAGCATCCATCCTGGGCCTTCTCTATCACCACTTGTCTCCCCTAAAAGCTCTTTTCTCCAATATCTCCTGCACTATGTATTGAATTGTTTCTGTATCATACCTTAAGAAAGCAAAATGACCCAGCGAAGGTCTGTGTTTGCAAGGTGTTGACATACTGCAGTTAATGAAAAGGAAATGAAATTGTTCCTGCATTAAAAGAGCTAAGCGTAGTTCATCATACACAGCATCAGCCCAGTCTGTGTTTTAGAGAGCTGTTGCCTGGTCTGGGAGCAGCCTGCGAAGTGACAGGAGGACAGGGGTGGCTTTGGGATTCGGTTGTCCGGCTCAGGGAATCTCTGGGTTCTGTCCTTAACCCTTTGGTCTCAGGTGCCCTTCGCTCGCTATTTGGCAATGAACAAAATCACCAACATTAAGCGCTACCACATCGCTAAGGTGTACAGGAGGGACAACCCGGCCACAACCAGGGGCCGCTACAGGGAATTCTACCAGTGCGTGAGTGTTGTAGCTGCTGTGCGAGGGGAGCTGGGCTGGTTCCTCTCAGGAACGTGGGAGGAGAGAGCTGGAGAGTGGTGAGAGGGGTGGTTACTTTCAGCTGCTGTGTGCTTATACGATGCTTTGTGCCCCATTGAGCTCTGCCTCTGGAGTAGAGGCCCTGCACAGCAGTCCTGAAAAAAAATGCTGAAGTAGAAGGGGATGCTACATAGGAGGATGGGCTGGATTTCAGGAGCAGCCCAGCTATGCCAGGAATTTCTCTACCTTTTCCTGTCCCCAGGATTTTGACATTGCTGGCCAGTTCGATCCTATGATTCCTGATGCAGAATGCCTGAAAATAGTGCATGAGATCCTGAGTGAGTTGCAGCTTGGGGACTTTCTCATTAAGGTGAGATGAGAGCCGAGTGGAGCCTTCCCTCCCATCCCCCGCTCCAGTGTGCTGTGGGTTTGAGAGACCAGTGAAAAGGTACAAGGAGACTCCAACAGCTGTAGCTTCCAGCACCTCTTGGGCAGGGGCAAGGAGAAATTGCAGTGGGATGATCTCCCCTGGGCTGAGAATGCCTCTTCCTCCTCCCAGGTCAATGACCGACGCATTTTGAACGGTGTGTTTGCCATTTGTGGTGTCCCAGAGAGCAAGTTCATAACCACATGCTCTACCGTGGACAAACTGGACAAGGTAAGGGAGTTCTGGGGGTTCTCCTACCTGTGTCCAGTGCTTTATGGGATAGTAACAAATGCTTGGAAGTAGCCCTGAAGTTGCAAAATGTGCATTTTGCTCTTTGGGCAGGTCACTTCCAGTTTCGGGATGTTCAGCCTGGGCAGTGGTTTTGCTATTCCCATCAGAAAGAAGTATCACAGCAGTTAATTCAGTAGTGTTTGTAAGGGACTCTGAGAACTCTTGGGCTAGTAGCAGTGGCCAAGAATAAAGCCTGGCATTGTCAGTGATTTCCCTTAAGGATTCCTGTGACATAGGCACAGATCATTAGTGAGAATGCTTGCTGTGAAGCATCTGCTCTCCTCCCACACACGTTCTGAATCCATGGGCTGGTGGAGACCACGGATGAGGGCATTCTGCAGTGACTGATGCTCTTGTCTCCCCTCACAGATGTCGTGGGAGGATGTGAGGAGCGAGATGCTGGGAGAAAAGGGGCTCTCTCCTGAGGCTGCGAATCGCATTGGGGAATATGTCCAGCTCCACGGTGAGCGCTTTGCAGGGGGGATCCCTTCTCCCTCTCGGCTGAAAGCCTCCCCCTCCAGCCTGCTCGGTCATTGTCCCTACAAGCACTGCCACCCTCTTGCAGGCCAGGCAGGCAGGGGCCAGCGCACCCTGGGCAGGGGCAGAGGGTGCAAAGCAGCACCCGCGACCGACTGGGCCCACGGTTGCCAGTGCAGCTCTGTTGCTGGCTCCTGGCAGACCTCAAGCATGGCTTGTTCCCACAGGTGGCCTGGAGCTGATTGAGCAGCTCCTCCAGGACCCAAAGCTATCCCAGAATCAACTAGCCAAGGAGGGGTTGGGGGACATGAAGCTGCTGTTTGAGTACCTGACGCTGTTTGGCATCACAGGGAAGGTGAGGAGGTGCAGAGGCGGGGGAATGCTGCCATCGTGGCTAGGCAGCCCTGTGTGCCCCAGCTGCACCCGGTGACGGGACTCGGCTTGTGTCCTGCAGATCTCCTTCGACCTGAGCCTGGCGCGAGGCCTGGACTATTATACAGGGGTGATCTTTGAGGCCGTCCTGGTACAGCAGGAGAACAACCCTGAGGAGGAGCCAGTCAGCGTTGGGAGTGTGGCTGGAGGTGGTCGCTACGATGGGCTGGTGGGGATGTTTGATCCCAAAGGACGGAGGGTGCCCTGTGTGGGAGTCAGCATTGGGATTGAGCGGATCTTCTCCATCATGGAGCAAAGAGTGAAGGTAAGTGCTGCAGGCAGTACTTAATATGGACAAGGCTCTCAGGAGCAATCACTTGTTACAGATGATGGAAAACGCATATCTCTGTGGTGCTCAAGAAATGGGCTTTGGGGAGAGGGCATTCATGTCTCAATGTCACTGGAAGACAGAGCCCTTTTCTGCAGCCCATTGTGTGGCAGTCATTTGGCATCTGAGAGCAGCGTTTCATAGCATACACTAAGGAAGTGACAGAGATGGGCCCTGAGTTCTAGTCCTGGTTCTGTCTTTTGTTTTCTGTGTGGCTTGGCCCAAGTCACTTCACTCTTGTCTCTCCCCTGTGAAGTTTTTCCCCCAGGGGTTGTGAAATTATAAATTCAGTAACAGCTGTGAAACTCACTTTGTAATGAGTGCCATAGGAAGCCCTGTGAGGAAAGTAATCACTGTGCATTTAGTTCTGAGCTCGTGATTGATAGTAAATGAGGCCAAGGCAATGTGTTTATACATGAAGAATCAAAAGAAATATTGGAAAGTTGTCCAGGAGGAAGGCCAATGTCCCATGGAAACAGCAGCATACAATTAAATGGTCTGTCAGAATGCAGACTCCCTGGGGGGGGGGAGGGGCTCATTAAACTTGGCCATGCAGTCTTAATTGTGGACCCTGTTAGCTTCTGAAAGTTTAGCCTTGCTCAGTAATATTCACTGAACAGTGATGATTTGCTTTTAAATATGCTTGTGTTAGCCAGCTGTTACAGTCCAAGGTGAGTTTGGATGATCCTGTTGCGATCTGCGGATTCCCTCAAAGCCAGTCATGAGTGCATCTGTCCTTGCAGGCCTCTGGGGAGAAGGTTCGTACGACCGAGACGCAAGTGCTGGTGGCTACACCTCAGAAACACTTACTTGGTGCTAGACTGAAGCTCATCTCTGAGCTGTGGGAAGCAGGCATCAAGGTAAAGTAGGGATGTTGGCTTGGCCCTGTTACATTAACTGCAGTCACAGGACAGAGATCAACCCCACTAGCTGTCTGTCTATTTAGATCTGGACCTATCTGAGATCTAGCAGGCAGAGAGGGGAAACAGCTGTGAGCACCACAGGCAACCACTTGCCGAAGGAGTAATGAGGCAGTTTTCTGTGGGGTTTCGGTGCTGGGTATTTTGCTGCATGATCCATCAGAGCAAATTGTGCATTAATGATTCGTGCCACCTGTTCTACTCCCTTCTAGGCAGAGATGCTCTACAAGAAGGACCCTAAACTGCTGAAACAGCTGCAGTACTGTGAGGACACAGGGATTCCCCTCGTTGCCATCATAGGAGAGCAAGAGCTGACAGACCGAGTTGTCAAACTGCGAGATGTCACAACAAGAGAAGAGGTGAGAATACCCCTTTACACCAGGATTCAAAAGTGCTTCCAAAACCTAGAAATTGTCATTGAAAGGCTCCAGCTTTTCCCTTATTGATGGTGTTCCTTTGGGTAGCTGTATCACAGATCTGTTGAATGACTTCTCCAGAAAATCCTTGTAACAAACTGCATTGGGATGCACAGCAAGTCCCCAGGGCCAGGTCAAACTGTGCTCTACTCAGCAGCCTTAAATATATTTGTTCCCCCAAGAAGAGCGCAGCAATGAGCCCCTTCATTTTTCACTGTCCCTTCTTGGACAGCCTAAACTGTACTCTGAGGCAGGAGGCAAGACACTCTGAGTAGTGGGCCCCATTAAGCCGGGGGGATGGTTGGGAAGAGGCGGTCTCCTGATCAGCAGCACTGCTTTCCGCAGAACAGGTTCTGCCGCTGCTACCTCTTTCTTACTGTTTGCTTTGTAGGTCAATATCCCAAGAGAGAAGCTTGCTGATGAGATCAGAAGAAGGCTGGAGCCCTGCAGCCATGCTGTCCAGAGCTGCTTGACTCTGTGAACTGCTGTGTAACGGGAAACCCCCAGTGTCCTTAGCCATGAACTGCCCACTGAACTCTGGTCACCACCTGTTACCCTGAAGCTCATCTGCCTAGGCTAAGGCAGTGTTGAAATGGGGTATTTGTTTGGAAGGAGTAGACAGATTTTTAAAAGGCATGGACCATGCAATCACCATCTTAACCTTCTGGTTAACTATCTGAGGGGCAGGACCTGTTTGTGTGCTCCTAATATCACAGTACCAGTAACCGTACAGCAACTTCTATCTGCTGTGAGCATCAGCTTAGTGGTGGGGAGGGAACCTGCAGCTGTGGCTGTGACCCGTACGGAGGGTCAGCAGTGTGTCAGGTTGGGGGAGGAAGCTCTGCTGGTGCTCCCAGAGGTTCAGGCCTTGTGTGAAAACTGATGGTCACAAGTCAGCCTTTGCCAGGGCGAGGGCTACAAAGGGTCATGCCGAGCCTGCAGCGCACTCTGAG